ACAGAATCATATTTTCCCCTGTATATTCACTCTTATTTCTAGAATAGCCAACAAAAACAAAGCAGCTGGCAAACACCACTCCAGTAGGAAGATCATGTTGCTCTGTGTTTCTTGGAAGTGAAGATAGGCAGTTTTTTATTTAAAATTTTGCAGGGCAAATGTCTATATTATCATATCTATATTATGTCATTTCTATGTTTCTCAGCTTGTTTTCGAGTGCGTCTTTCCCCTGTTGGCCAAAAACGATTAATGTAAACGTAACAATGGAGCCTTCCAACACCTCGCCTGGAAAAACACACACATTAACACACACACACACACACACACACACCTGTGCCAAGGTACAGGACACTGTAGTGCTCATCGTTGACCGCCAGGACGATGTCGGCCACAGTGTGTGTGATCTGGTCATCTGTGGGGAGGTCAAGTGGTGCCACACCGACTGGCCGGATCACGTCCTCAATTTCTGGATAGTATCTGATCACCCCCAGGTTTTTGACATCATTGTGAGCTCCTGCTGTCGAGTTTTTGCGGACACACTGAGGACATATGTGATGTAATCAATTCAGACCGGGGACTTGAATAAACAAAAACAACCTTAGACAAATAGTTCAGAATGGTTTCTGATTCATTAACTCACATCCTCCAACAAATAGCACTTCAATCTTTTCACTTTTGAAATAAAGGCTGATTTACGCATTATCATTTTTCTTTCTCAGTACTGTTTATCTTTTCAGACTGACCAAAAAATAAAAATAAAAATCATGTTGGTTTTTTTTACCATTCCAGGGCGACTGCCAGTAAACTGACTGCTGTAGCCTTTCAGTTTAGATGTAGAGAAAGCCTGGTCAATATCTTCAATGGAGTATGCACAGATCACTGTCCTGCCCCTGAACAAAAGCAGAGAGGGATAATTAGATAAAAGCAGGGCAGCTGGTTACAAGGGACCTGCAGAGAAACCAATACAAATCAGTGATGTAACTATAATAAGTATAATCCCTATCATGTTTTAGAGCAATGATTCTTCATTTTTTCATTTTCTTTTGGTTTGGTTTACTGTGGGTTCAAATGAAGTAAAGTGAATTTTAGAGGCAGTACAACAGCATTTAAAGTCAGTGGGAAGGGCAGCACTTGGGGAAGGTACAAATGCTTCAATTTGAGGAAAACATAAAGGGGCATCCAGAGCTTTATGAATCTGCTATAAATGAACAGAGACAAGAGGGGAAAGGAGACCAACAGAAGGGAAATGTCAGGAAGAACTGCAGTTTACTGAACTGAACTCACACACAGATAAACACTCTACCACACACGATCAGTTCAACCAGTGCTGCCTAACTTACAGCTAACATGTATGAATTGTTTGTTGTCTGTTCATCATTGTGTGCATATTCATCAGGAAAAGAACTGCAAGAACTGGAAATAAAATTAGCTTTAAGCTAAATCACGTAAACTAAATCTAATGGAAACATATATTTTCAGTATTATACATTTTCCCTTGAAAGTAGTTCAAATAAAAAACAATGTATTGTGTAAAAGTAGAAAGGAGATGGATGTTAATCCTTTCTGCATTTCACAGTTTCTATTTTGTGTAATGAACATAGATGTGCGGGTTCACAACTCACGGCTACATTGAAATACACAGAAATAAGAATCAGCCAAAGTGACTTGATCAGATGTGAGGTTGTAATGTGACCTACCGACTTGTATCATTAGTGCACACTACATTATGTGTAGCACTGTACACTCATTGTACAGTTTGAAAACGGTATTCTGCAATTTAAAATGTGCAAAATATAACAACAAACATATTAGATGGGACATGTAAGCATTACCCTTATTGATAAAGTATTAGAAAACTGAAATCATTCTGCCGGTGCCCTGCTGCTGAAAATGTTAAACCCGTTAGCTCTGAATTTGTATTATCAGATAAATGGTATCTGATATCTTGCAAACTTTAAAAAACAATGATTTACCAGATTCTTAAAACTGCTGTTACAGTTCCCTGAAATATAAACTAATACTGACAAGACACTTTCTTTTTAAATCTGATAAGAGAAATGTGTGTGTGCGTGTGAGGGGGCAGGGGGGCATTGTCTGCGCCAGGAGGTGCAGCTCTACTGTATGTGACGTGCATGAGTGTCAGTTACTGTTTCATTACAGCCGATTACACTGTGGAGTCAGACAGATGTTGTAGCTCACCAAGCATTGGAGAACAAGCCGTACATGACCCCGGTCCTCTTGTCCTGCGCTGTCAGCACCACCGCCTGCTTCATATTATTGTACTGCTGCTGAGTGTTGCCTGCACCACACATCACCCGGGCCTTCATGAAAGTGGTCCATGATTCTGGAAGCAGGGCTTTAATGCCCCCTTCATCCACCTGAAAATAACATGCAGGAACTAAATCATAAGTGGCTGTGTGTCCTTTGTTATCGGTGCCCTCCAGCAAAGCACACTGTGTATTTAGTAGGTCACAAGACATACTGTAGTGGTTTAACAAGCAATTAGCATGCACATTAATGTAGCTATTTAATAAACAACAACTGTGTTGTGCTGTGTTTCTATGTGCTACAGCAGTTGTAGGTCCAGAGAGATTGTCTCAGGACCTGATAACACCTTACAGACCCTCTCCAGATGAGCCAGCGTTGCACTCTTACCTACCTCTGAACAAAACTCAGGTAATTCGTGGAAGCATTTTTAACTAACTTGTACCACTTCTTTTCACAGTTTGCTTTGCAGACCCATCAATTCTAAGCCGTATATGCCCTGGATCTGTCTTTTCACATTTTTGAGACAATATGTCTGTGTGGTAAATTATGAAGCTGCGGCTGCTGGAACAACTAGAAACTGTTCTGTCCATAGGAAACAAAATTCACCTACCAACATCTCTAAAGCTCACTAATTAGCAAATGAAATGAAAACTGTGCTCTAAGATGTGTCCGGGCAGTATAATAATTAAAAGCAAATTAAAAATCTCCCCAAACAGACCCCATTTGAGTTAAATAACCATCACACAAAACCTTACTTTTCTGCTCTTATAATTTGTATTTTGATTTGGGGGAGATTAACTCCAAAGATGTGAGTCATACAGGGGAGCAGGGCTTTTCACAGCTGATTTGAAGCACCTTGTACAGTATATAAATCAGGACACATGCTTATAAAATGTAAACATGAACTGTTTGTTTCTTCACAAAGCACGTCACATTGAATCATTCAGTCCTTTAGTTGATTTTGTTAACCATTACATCATAAAATATGTGGTTTTCATTGGAAGCATCAAATTAATACAAAATCTCCAGGCCACTAAAAAATTCTTCAGATGAACCAATCTGAGAAAGTACTCTGCTGTTCAGCTGTTCAGAGCTCAGATATGTAAAATGCAGTGAGGCTGCACGAGTGGGGAAAAAGTTGGGAACCACCACTCTGAAATCATATGAATCTGGATTTAGCTGCAGTTCCACAAACACAGGCATAAAATGGGGTCGGTACCGTGCAGATTCGGCCGATGCGGGCCCTGTATGGCTCCTCGTCCACCCTGGCTGTCTTGTTGATCTCACTGAAGAAGAAGTAGATCTCCTCCTTAAACTTGTGCGAAGATGGGATTATAGCTGCACCAGCAAACTGTGGATCTGGAAATGAGAATTAAATATGTCCACTGAGAAATCATTGCTTTGTTCCCAATTTACAATTTAAGAAATGCCATCATAAGAAATACTGTTATTATTAAACTGTACATGAGAGAGAATATTGGTAGAAGCAGTATACAGTAAGTGTAAATTGCTGATATCAGTATAAATGTTTCTGATTTTTCTTTTGCTGCTGTAAATAACATGACCTGAACCACACAAACAGTGACAGTGAATACACCTACATGATATTTTTCCCATAGGAATGATAGTAGATGATTTACACAGAGTCCCACCCACCATCTCCGTGTTCATTAGTCTAAACCTGTACGGTTTCTCCTCCTACTCACTCAGCAGCCAAATGTTTTCTGTCTTCAGGAGTTTCTGGTAGCCAAAGGTACGCCGGATCGAGCCAGAGTGACTTCCCGCTGACGACATGGCAGAATACAGATTCCCATCTGAGACAGCAAGGGAAAAAAGGTGGAGAGAAGACAGGGTGAATGATGGGTAAAAAAAGAGAAGGTGGACAGTGAGTGTGATGGATGGGTGCAAGATTCAGAGGGAAAGGAAAAGAGATATGAACGACACAGAGGGGACCGACTGAAGCTGGAGGAGAGGAAGATGCAGAAAGAAAACGTTAAACACAGAGAGCATGACTGAAGGCAGAAAAAAGGAGTCAGTGGAAGCCAAAGACAGAATAAAAATGGTAAGATAAGTAGCGAGTGAAGAAGATATCGATGCAAAATAGCTGATTGCACCAATGAGCAGCCACCACTCAGTGTTCTCATAACCTCACTTAGAGCTCTTTCTCCATAGCAACGCAGAGGGGAAGCAGTAGAAATCGTGTCAGTAACATCTTAATTAGGCCTGATTGTTATTTGAATGCTGTTCAACTCAAGCAAATGGTCGGCTTGTTGCCTCAGCCATCGATCTTCATCTGAGAGAATGTCCTGCAGCGCAAGCTAACCTCTCACTAATTTCTGAGAGCCTCTACAAACACTCCATCTGCATTAGAAGCAATGTGTCCAACCCTCATTGCACACAGTGAAGACTCAAAGGTTGGTTTAATTCACCAAATCTGTATTTAGTTGATGTGAACCCACATTTCTGAATCATCGCACAGTTGGGAGTTTGATTCCCTGTGGAGAGAAGCAACACACTAAAGCTCTCCAGTATGCTGTGGTCCCTTGAAAGTGAGGAATTATACCCCCAACATTTGACTTTTATTCAGCTGGATTTGCAAATCATATAGTTTTAGACCTGACCACTGTATGTGTTTCCTATAGTTTGAGGCCTGTATTCTCACAAAACATGGGAAATATTCTTGCTGTGGCAGAGTGGCAAAATAAACCCATCATGTCTGCTTTGGATTGAGAGCGGTGATGCTGGGAGGAAATAAATATCTTCACTGCCATGGGCACAGACAATGATTCACATGACACACCAGACAGCCAGTTGTCTGTGGATGTTGAAATGTGGCCAGTCATTGAGTTTTCTGACATACTGTATATGTTTGTAACTTGGCACTGGGGGAGTAATGGATGTAAACAAAACCTGCAGGGCATAAACAAGCAGCAAATGCACGATCCTACTTTAAAGAAAATGTCAGCCTGATCGGAACTACTAGGATGTCAAAGGCTATTTGTGTTGTCTGTGGACAGGTGCAAAACATTTTACTAAATTTGCCTGTTAAGCTACAGCACTACTACTTCTGCTTTTAGCATCAACATTCAGGAGTCTGTAAAACAAAAACCTTCCGCCTGAATTCTTTGTTTGTGCAGCCAGTTGTACAACAGCTCCGTGGTTTTTTCATGTCAGTGCACAATGGCAGATGGCTGACTCTGGCACTCAAGGTGGTGTGATCCCTTGATGATGTTATAGTTGACATGTATGAAGTGCTGAGGCACAGGACTATAGTCATTACAACAGCTTTTTAGTGGGTTTCTTCTTTTTTTCATTTTGTTAAGTCATTTTTGGGGGTGGGCAGGGTTAGGGATAACAAGCTGTGGGGTCTTTATCCAGATCAAGGTTCTACACAGAGAAGTGGATTGTTCACTCAAACCCTTGACTTAAGCGAAGCTCCTTTTATTGCAAACTAGATTAAAAAGCTGCTTAACTTAGACAGATGATGTATTTATAACTCAGAAATGATTTTCCTAATGTAAATTTTTTGAAGAATTCACTGCTGTATTAATTTCAATTACTAATACAAGCTCACCTATAAACATTTACTCTAATACACGAAAAAAAAACCTAGGCTTTCATTAAAGGTCTTGCTCAAGCCAGGGTACATATTCTTAAGCCCGATGCTAAATGATGCAAACACATCTGTCTGTAGAGGATTGTCAGGTGCTTTAGATAAAAGTGTTTACTCATTTGCATGCTATTAATAGAGAGTGACGAGGGAGATCTCTGCTGGGAGCCGGGGAAATGTTGCTCTGCTGCTCCTGCCACAAATAAGTTAATATGCAGGGTTTAGGATGGATTTGTTTCATAAAAAGATATTTGATGAAGTGACACCTTTGAAAAAAAGTGATATTTTCGAAATGGTGACATCTACTCTTACAAAATGGAACTTAGTGAGACTTTCTTTGTTGGATGGGGTTAGGGTCATTCAACCAGGTAGGGTTAGGGGAACTCTATGCACTGTGACTAGATCTAGTTGCTGATTATGGGATTCATCAAGTTTATAGAAAACATAACTTCTCATTGGCAAGGATGTGTCATAACATTGTCTTCTGCTGCTGATATTAAGTCATTAACAATGAGTGGTTATGTTTATGTAAAATTCCTTTTCATTTTCCTCTTGTGTTTCTTACCTGCAGGCAGGGTAATGGACCTCTGGGAAGGGTAGGGTGGTGAGATGTCAGAGGCTGCTGCTATCTGCTTGCCCTGCACATCGGTCAGCACAGTGTCATTAGCCTGTACACACAGGGAGGGGGGAGACATTTGAGCCTGGAGGAAGTCAAGCCTTTTAAATCCAGTTTACTACAAGTGTATCCATTATATACCTTCCAGTTTTTTTATTCACCTTTTGGCACCATAAAGTTTAGAAAAGGTATCCATGGAGGCACATATTTATTACTCAGTGAAAGCATCCTCTATGGTAATAGATAACAGCCTTCCTTCATGTAACCATCAGAAGAAATATGTGAACAAATCAATGCAATCAGATGCTGATTCTGAGAATGTTCTGACTCAGCAGCAAAGAGTATAACTGGGGCTACTTGCGGCGGCTGCAGAAGAATCTGAGGAAACTCTTACCAGCATCCAGCACCTGGGGCTTCCAGCATTTGTCCCACATACTATGAACGTGTCGTTTACTTTCTGAATGACTGTGATGAAGTTATCACACTCCAGCTGTGGGAGAAAATGAGCAGGAGACAAAGGCATAAAATGAGGCAGGAGCAAGTGGGAAAGGCAGAAATTACACAGATTGGGAGAGGGGATATGGATTCAGAGAGACAGAAAGGTGGCAGAGGCAAAAAAAACAGCAGAGGGTATGTGAAAGAATGATTAGAAAGAAAGAGCACAAAGGGGGAAATAACACAAGGATGAGGAGGAAAAACAAAGAGAGGAAGAGAGGAAGGCAGAGTAGAGGGATAGAGAGCAAAGCAAGCAAGAGTTGAGCACAAAACAGATTATGAGAGAGAAAGCTCAGCAAGAGACTTAAGAAAAATTGGAGGTGATCCATGTTCTGAAAGTGTTTGGCCCACAGCACACAGGAGGGTTAGCCCTGCAGTACAGCAATGCAACACTGCGTATCATTTATTGATTAAATACAAACAAATGGACTGCTGTCCCCCAACATGGGGGATCAAAATGAGTACAACTTTGAGGGTTTGACTCATGGTGAGTTAAGCTTGTTGTGGTGCATCTTCAACCAAAAATGTGCATTGCATTTTAGAAAACAATGATCACAAATCCTGATAGACTCACATGAAATCCAAAAAACAGGGCCAAAGCTTATATAATTGTCTACAGTAGGTGGATGGGTAGGTGGATGGGTAGGAGGGTGGGTGGCCTGGGTTTACTTGTAATTGTGTTTGCATGTTCTTACTTTGTATTGCAGCCTAATATTCCTAGAGATTCTGTCCATGTTGATGAATCTCCTCAGTTTACACCCTATACAAATGTTCCCTGCCATTAGAAATAGTAGTCTTTCCTTTATTTTGCAGGTCAAAAAGTAAGGGTGTGAAGGTTGAGGTGGTGGATGCAGCACATCTCAATTTCATGCCCTGACTTTGTGTTGCAGTGCAACTACTGTAACTTTAACCCAACCACAGGCCAACCTTGGCCATACCTTAGTTGCCATGCACAGATACTGTAGAACACAACATTTTTTAGACACACTGGCATGGGCATAAGAACACTTTCTTCACTGAACATAATCTGGGGTTTTGCACAATCCTCTCTTAAGGTTTTGTCTAGCAATAGGGTTTATAATACACTGGTGAAGAGCCATTGTTTTTAAAGCAATTCAAAAACCTGTAGCACTTCAACAGGAGACTTGTAAGAGATTATAATTCAAAAAAGACTGAGCAAGGTACAAGTCAGGTGCACTTAGCAAAACTTCATCAAACAAAATAAAGAATGAGACCTATGGTAACAGATAGAGGTTATTTTGTGTATGATCTGTGTGCTTTCCTGTTTGTGAACTGTGTAGATTGCTTGCTTGACATGAAGAGACGTGAAGCAGCACTAATTAGTCTTATCAGTGTCACCTGTACTGATTAAGGTGGGTAGAAATGCCTGAGTTGTGGTGTTAGTTAACTACACTGAAAAAAGGCAGCAATGTCAGTCTTTTTTTTCTCAGCAATGTGCTTTTAAGCTAACAATAAAATGCAGATTTTAAAGCATCTTTCAGATTGTGAAGACTGTTACAAGACAGTTTTACAAAGAATGGTCAAACTCAAAAAAGGAGATTCATATTCCAATTCAAAAGAGCTTCCACCATGTGACCCCGATCTGTAATCCAGTGCCAGGCCCAAACGGTAGTGATGGCCATCTGACACCGAGGCCTCGATACATGATTCGAGCTCGGAGAGGGATCTTCCACAAACCACTGCCTCGAGGCTTGTATCGTTGCCGAAAAGACACGTGACTGATGACGTCCAACGCAGAAACAGTTGGCCTGAGGGACTCTGGTGACCGGTTCAGACCGTCGATACAGTGTCATGACGTGAGATCTTGCTGCACGCATCAGCAGGTGCGTAGGTGAAGAGGTACTATAAAGCCACCCAAGATGATGCGCAACATGTGGGTTTTGTCGGCGTAGTAGGTGTGTGCGTAGTTGCTGTCGGCATGATCATTGCTGCTGGTGTGTGATCACCATAGAGCCAGCTAGGAAGAGACCCCGTTCTCCAATGTGGGAACACTTTCAGCTGATCGGTTCAAAGACAGTGGAGAAACTTTTCTTCTTGAATAAAAAGGATTGATTCTCCATCCCTTGTATTTATTCACACCCTGTCCTAGTTACATACGCACATATTACATCCTAGCACATCCTCTGTTTCCCCAAGCACGCCTTCTCCTGCCTACTACACTACATACGTTCATAGACTGGACAAACGTTTTGACATCATTCACACAAAGCCTAGTTACACCCATCACATAATTCAGACATTGTTCTGCTGCATACTATTTTGCCACCAGATGGCACTAAACCAAACCTTTGAATCCATCCATTTTCTATACCGCTTAATCCCAAACAGGGTCATGGGGTGCTGGAGCCAACTCCCAGCCGGCTGCGGGCGAGGGTACACGCTGGAAATGTTGCCAGTCCATCGCAGGGCTAACACGCACACACTCCTACGGGCAATTTAGAGACGTCAATCAATGTATGCTGCATGTCTTTGGACAGCGGGAGGAAGCCAGAGCACCCGGAGAGAACCCACACAAGCATGAGGAGAACATGCAAACTCCACACAGAAAGGCCCCAGGTCGGCTGGGGCTCGAACCTGGAACCGTCTCAGTGTGAGGCAGCAATGCTAACCACCTACACCACTATGCCACCCAACCTTTGAATGAATGAACCAATACTTGATACAAATGATGAAGTGGTTCGATACAGGTGTCATGGTGTCAATTGGACATCACAAGCAAACAGGGATGACTCAAGAGAAGTCACTTTTCACAAACTCGATGAAGCTCCTCTGCAAAGACAGTACTCCGTTTTTATAAGCTGAGTGGTACTTCTTCAAACCAGTAAACTCTTCTGTAATGTCCTTTTTTGCAATCCTCTCTGTATTACAACCTAAAATCTCAACCACCTTTCACAGACTGTGTGTGCTCTGATCCGTCTAAAACTGAGGTGGATAAGACAGCCACACAACACTATTGGAAATCTATAAAATTCTGTGTGTTATCTACTGCACTGCCAAGCTCATCTCACTCTGGTGATAATGCTTTGCACAAACCTCACGGCTGTCTGGTTGTGAAGGATGTTGCTGCCTGTCCTTCCAAGTCCCCTTCCAAGCATCATTGCTTTACTGAGGAAGATTTACTGTGTCATTCAGGACATTCTCATTTTCCACCATCTGCCACTGCCAGACTTTTTGGAATCTTTAGCTGTATTGTGTAGGAAAGCCACCCCCCTTGAAATGTTGTACTATAGCTACAGAATTTATACCCACAATTGTGGCAGGATTTTAGATATGAATAGGAGTACTGAAATTACTGATATCAGCTGATTTAAAACAAAATAGTGGTGAAAAAGGTATTAATGGGCCACTGTGCATCATGTGACTTGCAATACTGTTTGTGGCCACAGCCGCAAAAAATGCCCTACCATCCAACGCTATTACTGGAGCTTGCCCCTGTAAATAACTGATGTTTGTTTTTATGAATTTTGAGCATCTAAAGTGAATAGAAGTGATCAACAGTGTGCCAGGTTTTTATTTCCCGCAGTCAGGGTTTATGATCTGTTGCATGGACAGTGGACACACACAGACACTTGAGTCTGCATAAATGGAAGAGCGCCAGCACGTGTGCAGACAGTCTTAGCCTCCATGTTACTGTGGATCCTTGTGGATATGATATAATTTTCTTATGCCCTGTAAGCATTAAGCTGAGTATCACATGTGGACAACTAGATGAATTGTTTAATTTTTTGCTATAAATGCACAATTTGGCCCTGAGTATAAAAGGATTTGTGTTAATTATCATGCTGATTTTTTTAAATCTTATAACTGCTTCAAAATGAATGTGGAAATAATCCATTGATGTAAAATGATAAAACTGGTCTCAGTATTTAAAGTACAACCTTTAAATACCAAGATTCTCTTACCAACCTTTTTGTCATTAGCTATAGCCATCTCCTTATTTTCAGTGGCATGTGATATATAACGCAGCACTGTACCCTGCTCTTCTTCAGAGTTTTCTTCAATTCCAGTGCATTTAAACCTCGGTTGAGGCTTTCCCACATTATTTCACTAATTGTAGGTTGAATATTGTAATAAAATCTGGCTATCATCTCAGTCTTACTGTGGAATCTTATGATTCCCTGCAATTATCAGCAGCCCAATCATCTGTGCATTGTGTTTTTTTTTTTGAGCTTGGAGCTACCTCCTGTGTAATTTTACATCACGTGCATAAATAAAGATTTTAATGTCTTTATTTGTTTTTCTGTTTTTTCTGTGTTCGCTTTGAATTGTTATTTAAGTCCTAACAAAAAAACAGAACAGTGCAGCACTAACCTCACAACAGTGCAACTGCAGATGATGAAGATGATGAGAAACAGGGTGATGCTGATGATAATACACGCATGGAGGAGGGGAATGGTTTTCAGCTCTGATGGAGGTGCTGACAGTGATGATGAGTTTTTACCTCAAGTGGTGCAGCCTTTGCCTTGCAGGTATCAATTGCAGTCTGATCAGATGCTGCTGGGATCTGTGGGAGGAAGGACTGTTAGTTTGTGCTGAGGTCTTTCACACTGCTCTGTTTCAGCAGGGAGACAGTGACCATGCTGCAGCTGCTACAACATGATCCTCACAGAAATCATCCATATTCTCTGATGTTTGCTGCATTCATGGAATTATTTTGTCATTAAATCTGAGCTGTAGCCCCGCCTTAGCTCAGTCTGCCCCCTGTACTTCACATACTCCAGAATCCCTTTCAACAGCACCTGAAAGAACTTGTTCTCAAAACACGAAGGTGATTAGAGCAGTAGAAAGAACGATACAAAAGGCAGAATGAATCTATCATTTTGAGAACATTTTGCCCTTCAATTTTGCCCTTGTTTCTTATTTGCAAAGTTTATAAATGAGTTTACTGACCCTTTCATTAATCAATAACTATAATTCCCTGTATAACTGTTGAATCTCAAAAAAGCCTTAGCTTTTTATTTCTATGTGGCTGACGTTGATGTTTACCATTGCTGTTTTTGCAGGTATGTTTTGACTGCTATGCCTCACTAAACTAAGCTGCACTTGAAATAACGGCACCTGACAAAATCTAACTTCATTAGTAAGAAGAGCACATCTTCAAAGATTCAAATTCAATGTCAAACCCATCAGCACTTGTTTTTCCACTTGTCTGAGAACCCAACACTAAGCCTGCAATAATTCTGAAAAATAGGGCAGAGTCATATTTGGGTGAAACACCAAGCTCTTCAAGTTTATTAAACTAGTCAGTACTGGCACTGTAGCACACACTCTGTAACCTATGTGGACACTACAGGCTCAGTGAATTATGCTTTGTCTCCTCACAGAGAGAGAGCCCGGCTTCCGCGGCCTTGCCTGCTGACCTGGGTCAGTGGAAGGCCGGCCGTCTCATCTCTCAGCTGCCCTGTTTGGCTCACTGTGCCACCCTCACGGCAGGAGGGGAAGCGTATTTGTTTTCATCCCACAGCTCTATCAAACAGCAATGCAGGGGGAGGGAAAAACAATTTAAAAAATTATAAGTTTAGTTTTACTTACTGCAACATGGCAAGTTGCTTTGTGATTTACTGCAACTGTATCAATTTAAAATAGCAAAATACATCATGGTTTGTTGTTTTTTTGTTAAATAGCACCAAATGACTTGTTCCCAAGACTGAATAACTCAAATTCAAATAATCATCCTACTAATGGATCACAAAATCTCAGAGGAACATTAGTTAAAGGATCAGGCCGGTTATTATGATACAGTATTTTCAACACTCCCCAATACAGAAACTAAAACCTACAATGAATCGCTTCTACTCATGGTTAATGTCCATCAGTGTGTCAGTCCTGGATCAGTTTATTCCTCTGTAGCACAGACCTCCATTGTTGCTCAAAACAAATAAAAACACATCAGTGAAACACACTGCTGCACTGGGTGACATTTTGTCAAGCACCAGACCTGAATGTTAGGAGCCAGCGGAAGGTAAACAAAGCAGAGGGCTCATGCAAAATCTGGCGCATGTGACATTGACTCTGACTCTGCTAACTTCAAGAAATTATGACCACTCTGAGACTTTGGGGCAACACAGTCAGGTCTGGTTTTTCATAACAGGAAAAGAGACATGCCACCTAGTGCAGCAGTGTGTTTCCCTGATGTGTTTTTAATCATTTCTGAACAACAACAGAGCTCTATGGGAAAGATGAACAAGCTAATCCAGGACTGACAGCTGTGAGTAGAGGCAAGGCAGTGTCTGATTGCTGAAAATACAGTACTTTCAATATATATTATGACCAGTCTTATCCTCTAAGTTGCTATTTACCAAAAAAAAAAAAAAGCAACTAATTTTGCCAGCCACTTTGATCATAGTTTTAACTGGATATAATACAGCCAATAGTTAAACAAAGAAACTGATGCCTCCCTCATGTCTGTGCATTAAGTGTTGAGATGAAATAAGGAGGCATTTAGCTTAGCATGTTGGAAGTTCAATTACACGCCTGCCAACACCCCTTTGGGCCACTGACTAGCATGTTGTCCCTGACGGAAATGTAAAAACAACAAGTATTTTTGTTTGTGTTTGCACAGTGACTTCTCAGTCCAGGCAGCCAGTAGGAAGCCCAGTGAATGGATAGATGGTTGTTTGTTAAGAAACTGTTCGAGGCAGTCAGACAAGCTGTTTCCCCTGCTTCTAACCTTTATGCAAAGCCTGGCTAATTGCCTGCTGCCTTCAGCTCCATACTTGGCTCATAGAAATTCATCTAAAGCTGTGCAAGAAAACCAATACGCATATTTCTCAAGATGTCAGCCCACAGACAGATGTCTAACTCTATCCAGCGTCCACACATTTGAGGCTGCACAGTGTAACCACAGCTAAATGTCTTGCTCAAGGGCATGTCATCAGAAACACTGAGGGGGAAGGGCAGAGGGATACATTTCATTCACTTTTTCCAACCAGCTCTACAGCACCTGTTTGAAAACCAAACCAAGACACCCGGAAGTAAATTTCCAGTTTTGTTCTGTATAATAAAATTTACTTGACTTAACTTAGAGGCAAAGTTCAGTCAGTGAAGGCCTGTGCAGGTGCACCCAGGGAGTGCAGGGCCTTTAATTCTGTTTGCAGGCCTGCCTTTTCAATGTATTGGTGCCTGTTGCCCTTCTCACCAACCAGCCTCATTTGTACGTATGAACAGCGCCTCCAAAGTTGCTTTTGAACTTGTTTGCTTTTTAACTTGAACACTTGGCAGTATTTAGGAAGTAGTTGTTCAGTGCTAGTTTAAAAGTTCTCATCACATGGCAGCAGCATTAAGCAATACTGTCTGGAGGACAGAGCTGCAGACCTCCAGAACATCTTATTGACAAGTCTGCATACAGGTAGAAACAATCCACTAAAAGTAAAGTGTACCTGCAGATCATGAACTCCTCTGTCAGTGAATGTCAGCACATAGATCATTGCCTGGCCACCCACATACAGCCTGTCGGTCCCTTCCTGATGATACATGCTGATGTAATTCTCAGGTTTGTTGAAGTGAAACCTGGAGGGCTCTGTGGGTCAGAATGAAATATGTTAGAGGGATGAACAGCAGAGAAGAGCTTTGCTGGGGTACAGTGTTGTTTTGTCATTGTTAAAACATATGTTTGTATCAGTGCAGTGAACGTGGTAATAAAGATTCATTCATTTAAATGAAGAGAACTCTTAAATTTATTCAAAAACAAGACAAGGAAAACTGCTTTTAAGAACATGCTTTGCTGCTAATAATCATTGGTACTTTTAATTAAGAAAGAGCAGAAGGAGAAGAGGAAAATAATTTTCAAATCAGAATTAAAAGTAGTTTCTAACTGATAGAAAATCAATGAAATCAACAGCTAAAACAAAAGAACAAGGCACTGTAATAAAAAAGATGCATGAGCAATCACAGTAACAAAAAGATCAATGTGTGAAAGGAAAACTGAGTTTTAGGAAGTGATGCACTGTATAAAGATAATGTGGATTTAGCTGACCTGAGCCTCTCAGGCAGGTTGAAACAAAGTCTAGAAGCCCTGATAGCAAAGAGCCATTTAGTCTGCTGAAAATATACAAGCCAGCTCAATGAGCCCTGGTTTCATTTATCAAAACACTTGATCCAGTGTTGCTGCTTGTTGTTATTTCAGATTAACTCAGGAGCCATTACAGAAACCTGGACTGGGTACTGGAGGAAAAGGGCATTTGGTGGGAGCATACATATCACTGAAATAATCATGTGGGCTAATCCACTCATAGGTGTTGTTCTGAATAACACTCCAGACACTTCCAGAAGCCTCAAAAGTACATTAGAGCATCTCTGAATTGCCCATCCAGTCAGACTCACTCTTACCTACAGTGCAACTGTACCTGCAGTTATCAAGAGATTAAAATCACTGCTACTATTACAAAATGTGATTGCATGAAGAATACAGTATGTACTGGAGATTCTTGCAAAGTTATACAAAAACTATCATGTCTAATAATGAAAACTATGTACAGTACTTATAACCATTATAAGCTTTTTAATGGGCTTGTTCAACTTTTTCTTTTTTCTCTGCTTTATATGTACATTTTGCTATTTATCATAATTTCACAAAAGTACAGTGTGATCAGATTTAAGGATGTGTAGAAATCAGCCAGTTACATGTTAAGGCATCTGACAATAGACTAAAATAAAAATAATAGCACAGTAAAAAATCAGAACACCAGACAATGTTACAAATAGTGCCATGGCAAGGCTCTTTCAAAAAGAAGGAAGAAAGTAGAAATTAAGTGCTTATCCTAAAGAGCTTTCATTTTCAGCCAAGATACATCATGAGTTGAACTAAAATAAGACTTTAATTCCAAATAATGATGTGTTTTGTTCTTGACATTTCAAAATAAATAGATATACTAATAAGGAAAAGAGGGATTGCAAAGCCATGGCATTTGTAATGATTATCTCCTTACAGACGAAATGAAAAAGACAGTAAACCAGGATGAAGTGGTGGTGATCAGTGCTGCAGGTTGCTAGCCAACCAACAAAGTTTCTATGGAAACAGGGCCCTCTCTTATTTGTAGGAATATAACTGATGAAGCTTATACTTCACAAAGAAGTGAGGAACGTACAAGGAAAGCCAATGTGAATGATGATTTAGACAAGAACATGTAGGTTCATTTCTCTGTCTGACAGTTTTGAGAAGAACACCCTGTAGCTGGAAAAACTCTTTGATAGACCACTAAGATATTTACATTGGAGGTTCAGGTCTTTACAGCTTCCCAAGTAAGCATTTGCAGAGTGAGTCAATAGAAACAAAGTCAATCTGTTAGACAAAACACCTCAAACTCAAAGAAAGTTTCTTCAGTATGAGTTGTGTGATAGTTAAATTGACACTAAAGACATTTTTGGTTTGGACAACGTGTATAACAAATCAAAAGGCAGTCTAAATCATTTATTTTTATGTCTGTTGGAGCTGTTGGAGAGAATACTGACAATTTGTCTCAACTTTTCATTCAATTTGTGTTACAAGTTTTAAAACCACTGTACTATTTGTGGCAAGGGTGTTATGTACTGTAACAGGACACAATCTTTATGCTATTTGGTTCCATGCTGTTTAGAACAATGACCAAAGCTTGGTATAGGTATTATATGGAGTTTTATGTCTTTATGCAGCAAAGCTGTTCAGTTTTTACTGACACGTGTGACACAACACACACACACTCCTGCTATTGGTTACACACTTTTTTGTTTTTTGTTTTTTTTTACCAATTAAGAAGTGGAAGTGATGTGCCACCAGAAGGCAGGGAAATGATAACATACTGTAGATGTAAACAACACACAGTGCTTTATAGTGAGCAACAGTGAATGTTTCAGAGAAAAGTCTGTTTACAAGAAAACCTTTAAAGTAGGATATAAGCTAATAACTTGTTCCAGTTGAACTCAGAAGTCAGAATTTCCAATTTCCCAGTTGAATATTTCAACTGGAATGCCCACTGAATGGATTTCTTGGAAAGTTGGACAAACTTCACCAACCCTACCCTCAAAATCCAAGATGGCTGCTCCATGGATCCACAGTAAAAAGCTGTAGTAATATGATCTTTATTAGCATTTATGTCTTATTCTTGTCTCATTAAAACAACTGTACATACAGTACTGTCCAGCTTCTATCTGCAAACATGTTGCTGTAGAGTTTGCATTTGCAAAATATAAACTGTGTTGTTATAAACTGGGATTGCTAACAATAGCTCACAACAGCTAATATGGCTCAACTGGTATCTGAAACTGGAATCCAGTTAACTTGGGTGTGATGTCATTCTCAGTTTCGACTTCTGAGCTCTGAGGTAAATCAAATGCACCATAAGCTCCTCCCCCACTTGTGCCTGATTGGACATCGTGTTCCATCTCTTTAAACAAGGACACAAGAGGAACAGAAAGTACACCCCTTTCATACAGTCCTCGTCCATGCCACTCTCAGCACAATATCAAAAGGGTCAGACATGAACAACTGAAATGTCACGCGAATGTAATTTGAGCTTAATTTGTGCTCCCTGTTGTGTGAGTGTGTGCTTCCTTTTCCTTTTTCCTTAGATATCTACTCAGTGCTGCTTGGTGAAAACCTTACATTTTCAAAAGGTCAACTTTTCAAGAACAAAGAAAAACAGTTTTGTTTTTTAGCTTGTTCTCTGAAAAATGGCTTCATTAAAGTGACATGTTGGAGAGCTCCTTTACCCTCAGAGGAGCATGTAATCCTTGAATGAAGAAAACCTTTTCAAGCTATGTAGTCACCGGTCACTTTTAAAGCAACAAATTCCTAGCTGCACTCAGGAATGTGCTAATTAAAGAAGAGTGAAGCACATATGCCATTTGAGAGAATAGTTCCAGTTGCACATGAATACAGCATTTTGGATTGTGGGAGAAATAAACAGCAGAGGGGGATGGTATTTGATCGACTGTAGCAGCTTTTCTGTGCGGTACCAGCAAATCATCTCAGTTTTTGTTTCATATAATGTACACAGAATCTTTGGTAACACTTTATTTATTTTATAGGTCTATAAATTCCAGTTTATTTTCAAATAATTTCCTAAGAAGCTTCCCGGAAAGAACCATATAATTTAGTACTAATTACAGGCAAAATTAGAGAGTGATCAGCTGATATGCTTGTAGTCATTTCTAAATGACAAACTGGCACAAACTAGATGATTTTGTTCTGAATACTGAAGGTGAGGCTACACATGCAAAGTGTGAAATGTGTTTACAAACAAATATACAGTTAAACACAAATGGAGAATACATTTTCAAAAAGTATAAATAAAGAGTAAATATTAACCGGAATTTAAATTGAGAAATGTTTTACATAAAAATGTCTTTGGTAGTCAATGATAAACTCAACGCAGCTCAGCACTACTGGAATTATACAGGAAGCTTTCAAGAAATAATTAGGAAATAACAAGCCTCTAAAATAAAGCATTACAGAAAACCAGCCTCTTGTCTTAACAGGGTCTTTGTATTGATGTGTTCAAGTCTCCAACTGAGAGAGAAGGTCAACTCAAATGATGGCTGAACTTTGGTAAAATGTTCTGGTATTTAGAAAGGCTGCAGATGTCAATTTAGCATTGACATAAGCTGTTGTCTTTCTTTCAGTCAGTCTCTCTTTCTTTGTCTCATACTTTGCATTTATCTCCATGTCTCTCCCCTTTCTCTGATTTCTCTCTCTCTCTGCCTTTAGTTATCCCTGTCACTCTCAGGCAGGCATAAAGGAAGGTGAGTAAACATAATGCACATTAAAGTAAGGCAGGCTTCCCAATCCTAACATAGTCGCTTGAAGAAGATAAGTCACCACCATTATCCGTGTAGTTGCTCAAGAGCCACATTTACTTACTTTTGCTGAGGACCAAATCAAAGCAAAAACAAACAACCCCCCTCCCCCCCAGAAAATATTAGATTTAAATATATCACCTGAAATAAACATTGCACCAAATGAATGCTAATGTTGGTCTATCTGTGCCAGATGTGTAAAAAGGCAACTGCTACTGCTAACCTGTTTACCATATGAGTATGCATGTAATGCCCCAAAATGGATGTGTCTAATCTTGTTTTAAATTACTATTTGTATTAATATTAATTTAAGTTATTTGTTTTCTGTTTATTTCTTTTAGTGCCCTTTTCATATTCTGCCAAGAAGAAGCTCAGCGATTATACTTGGCAAAAACAAACACAATGAGGACATTTAACCCTCTGAGGACCTTGGCGCTGTCTCTGGTGCTGAAAACGGGCCAGCTCCTGGTTTTGCACCTCAGACTCAGGCTGCGCCTTTGATGATTTTATTCTGAGTGTTGTCTACGTGTGTGCGTGGTTTAACAACAAGCATTTATAGCTAACCCTGGAATTGCATGATGGTACGCACGTCCGCGCTGTCATTTTGTGCGTTTTGTACTGTGCTCATTGCTAGGACAGGAGAGATACTGTGACGCGCAACCCTCATCTCTATTGATTGCTGACTACATTAGAGGACTGTGTGAGGTGTAAAAAGCCGTGACTGGAATAGATAACTAGAATTCGGCGTGGAATTTTCCATTCATTGCTCTCCCCTCCCTTTCTCCCGCTCTTTTTTTTTTTGTACATTGACACATACTCTACAGCCTACAGCCTATATGTTTATGGCGACTGCCACCCTAAAGCAACCCTCTGTTTTCCCGAACTCATCTGCTGCAGTGTGAAGCAGCTGCCGTGTCCCGCATTGCAGCTTGCAGGACGAGAGAGCTACAGTGACTGTGTCAACCTCCAAAGAGTCATATTTCACAGTAATATTGCAAATCGGCGCTTGTGGGCGAGTGTGTAAAGGCCACAGCCTGGTGGTGTGTTTGGAGCGAACGGGCGCCATGTTCCCCCAGAAGGAAGAGGAGAGGTTGTCTGATTGCGCTCGGCGCTCTTGGAGGTGACGATACGGAGGAGGGGGTCACCAATTAGAGCCTGGGTGCCCTAATTGAAAAACAACCAACGAATGGTGCATTTAAAGACGCACACATAGTGAACTTGTATTGCACTACTATAAATCAGTCACACACCAACAGTAAAGCTACAGGTTGCACAAATCAGACACAAATCATTCAAAGAAGCCAATGTCTACTCATAGGCTAAAATAA